TGTGAATGTGTGGCCAGCAAAGATTTCGTGCCCTTTGGTAGGCTGTCTCTTCACTTGATTATTTATTGCCTTCACCGTTGTAAAGGTTTTATGTTTCGTGAGGTTCCTATTTGTTAACTGCTAATACGGTTTCCCCTTTCAGTAGTGACACCTCCAGCATTATTCTGTGTTCAGGATTATTTATGTCACCCAGGGTCTTTTGTGGTTCCATATGCTATGACATGGACTGCATTAAATTTGGGGATTTCTTTTGGTAGCATAACCAGTTTCACAGTATTAACTCATGTGTCTACCAGCATGTGTAGTCTTTCCATCTTCTAGTCTCAAGTTCTTCAAATGTTTTAAGTTTTTCATTATAGAAGATTCTGGTTTTTGCTTCCATGGTTAGGTTTATTCAAAAGTAATTTATTTACTTATTTATTTATTGGCTTGCAGATGGGATTATTGCCCTGATTTCTTCCTCACTAAGTGTGTCATCGGAAGGCTACTGATTCTTTTTAATGTTAATTTGTACCCTGATACTTCGCTCAAAGTGGTGGTTGGCTTTAAGGGCTTTCTGAGGGAATCTTAAGCATTTAGAATAACAGCATCTGCCAGTGAGGATAGCCAGACTTCCCTTTTGATTAGTGACCCTTTTGCTTCTCTGTTGTTTGAGTGCTCCAGGAAAGACTTCAAGCACTGTATGGAGCAAGAGTGGAGAGGCCAGAGCTCTTGGTCATGGTTTTAGTGGAAATACTTGGAGGTTTTCTCCATTTAATCTGAGAGTGGTTACAGGTTTGCTGTAATATCCTTTATTAAACTGAGATGTATTCCTTCTAGTCCTAGTGTCTTTAGGGATTCTCTCATGAAGAGATGTTGGATGTCTGTTAAAAGCCTTTTCTGAGCCAGGTGGTGGTGGCACATGCCTTTAATCCTGGCACTTGGGAGGCAGAGGCAAGAAGATCTCTGTAAATTCAAGGCCAGCCTGGTCTACAGAGCAAGTTCCAGGACAGTCAGAATGCTGAGAGCTGTGCAGCCTAGTCTCAAATCAATGTATGAATGAATGCCTGTCCTACAGAGCTCTGCAAGGCAAGGCCTGTGGAGATGGTCTCTTACTTGGCAAGAACCAGTGGACCACAAGGCAGTACAGGACTTTGCTGAATTTGTGTGGCTTGCAGGCTCTTTTCTATTTCATTATATTGCAGATTCCAGTTCTGGAAAGGAGAGTAAGGCATGCATACATAGAACAGAGGGAAAGCTCCAGGAATACACACAGTGGCAACTGTTGAGAGTAAGTTCCCTGGACACCAAGCATGCAGAGTCAATGGTAGGATCTGGTATGCTCCAAGAGGGAAAAACGCAATGCAAACTGTAGGATGGATACATCCATCTTTATCATACATAGGAGCTTATATTGGTGTGAGGATGATATGGTGTGATGGGGAAAGAGCGCCTTACCAAAGCCTGCCTTTTATAGACACACTAAGACAGGGGACTCTCTTGTGGAAAGGGAACTATGTAAAAATGTATCTTGCAGACATGAAAGAATTGTCTGGGTTTGAATATTGTTGTCCTTAAAGCACTGTGCCTATGTCTATTACTTTTTAACTTTGTAGCCCTAAGTAGCTACCAGCTGACATAAGTGCTGGAGAACAGGATGTTATTTAGTTAAGCCTGCAAAAATGCTGAACCCTGTGTCCAGAATAAGGTTATGCAGGGGGTGGAAAAGTGTATTTGGGGAAACTTAAATGGGAACAATAGGGACTTTTATAATGATTATTAAGTATTCCTTAAAAGTCAAAAATAGAAGCTAATAGTAAAAACTGTACATAAGCTGGGCTGTGGTGGCGCACACCTTTAATCCCTGCACTCGGGAGGCAGAGTCAAGGGAATCTCTGAGTTTGAGACCTGCCTGGTCTACAAGAGCTAATTCCAGAACAGCCTCCAAAGCCACAGAGAAACCCTATCTCAAAAAAACAAAACAAACAAACAAAAAACTGTTCATGTAAGCCTTGCAAAAGCAAACTAATCCAAACAAAACTAAACAAAAAACTTTGTTAAAGTATAAATAAAAATGGCTCAAGCTAATTGGGACCACTTGAGTGGAATCCACCTGGTGGTCAGAATCTGTGCCGATGTCCCCTCCCTGTCTCAGGATCCGAACCTGAGCTGAGGCTGAACCCTGGCAAAAAAGCCTTTTCTGCAGGTATGAAAACTGTTTAATGACTTCTGTCTGTGAGGCTATTTATGTATACAGTTATTGACTTGCACATGTTGAAGCATTGACACATCTGGAATGAAGTCAAGCTGATCATGGTGAAATATCTTTATGATACATCACTTAATTCATTTTCTAAGTACTCTATTGAGAAATTCTACGTTCATCTACATCTACGTTCATCTACATCTACGTTCATCAGAAGGAATTGCTTATAACTTTCTCTTGTTGTTGTCTCTTTATCTAGTTTTGGTATACAGTAAGTACTGGCTTGATAAAGAGTCTGGCAGTTTTCCTATATTTTCTAGTTTATGGACTGGGTTGTGGAGCATTGGTATTCTTCAAATAGCTGATAGAATTTAGCATGGACCCATCTGGGCCTGAACGTTTTTTTTTTAGCTGGGGACTTCTTATTAGGGTTTCAGTCTCATTGCTTATTGCATATCTACTTGAAATTTTTATGCTTAGTTTAATTCTGTTAGGTCATAAGCATCTAGACATTATTCATTTCTTTTAGATTTTTCCAATTTAGTGGAATATATTTTTTAAGGTAAATTCTAATGGTTTTCTGAATTTCAATGGTTATCTGGTATAATGTCCCCTTTTCAAATAAGTCGATTTGGATTCTCTCTCTTTTCCTTAGTTTGGCTAAGGATCTGTCAACTTTGTTTATCTTTACAAAGAGCCAACTATGTTTTGATACTTTGTATTATTTTTTTCAGTCCCATATCAATAATTTCTGCCCTAATCTTAATTACTTCTTTCCATCTGATGGGGGCAGTAGGAAAAGTAAACAGAAAGGAAAACTTGGGGAGAGAGAAGTTTTGACAAAGTTATAATGAAAAGAGTGACAAAGAAATATAACCACTGGGTGGTGGTGGCCTTTAATCCCAGCACTTAGGAGGCCAAGGCAGGTGGATCTCTGTGAGTTTGAGGCCAGCCTGGTTTACAGTGTAAGTTCCAGAACAGGCTCCTAAGCTACACAGAGAAACCCTGTCTTGAAAAACAAAAACAAAAAACAAAACACACACAAAAAGGAAGAAATGTAACAAATCAGACAACCTGGAAAAGCCCCAGCTCTCAGGACACTGAGACACGGAGGCCCTACAAACCATGATGTGTGCCTTCTTTGGAAATGTCTGTCAAAGGGAAAATGAAAAAGAAAATAGACAAGAAGGAGGAGAAGAAGGAAAATAGAAGAGAAAAAGTGCAAAGATGGTAACAAATCAGGGCAGAGCTGGCTTGCAAAACCAATAGGAGTATTAACAAAGGAGCAACCAATGTCAGGAGAGAGAGAGTGATGAGGGCAAGTCCAAGTACAGTCTTCTTCGCTGTTGCAGTGTTTCTGTGCTCCTTCCCCAGCTCCCAGATGCCATTCACGCTTCTGGGCAGATCTTTGCAAGCTCAGATCACAGATGATGCTGCCAGCAGGGGTGGTCCTCCATTGGTTAAATCACAGCTCTGGGCAAGTTCTTCAGGGAGCGGGTGGGCTGTGAATGCTGTTCTTGCTCCTAGCAGAGCCTTGCCAAGGGTCATTTTCCTGTCATTCTGGGTAAGGCTGGGGGACAAATGCTAGCCCTAAACCTTCAAAGTCATCTCCAAGCTCCCAGTCACCCACCTGGATGGCTGTGCTGCAGGTCTTTCACCAGCTGACTGGAAATGGCAGGTCATGCCCCCTCAAGTCCTTCCTGACAGCTGGTAGATATTCTGGAACCTGAGTCTGTGACCCTGCAGACTGTCTTTGATCAGCTTCTCCCTGGCTGAACAATGTTTAGTTCTGATACAAAGTTCATCCCCTTAAGTCTAGAGGCAATCTGCCTGCTTGCTTTGGGGCCTTCAAGCCACCCACTTGGCAGGGGTCTTTTAAAAAAATCTTTCTCCAGCTAAGGAGCAACTGGCTAGACTGTGCCAGCAAACAGGGCTCCCATGGGTTGCCAGAAGTCTCCTAGTACAGATAGGCAGGCAGCACTCAGTGTAGGTGTGCTTCAAGATCTGCACAGGACTCCTTCCCTCCATGCAGAGGCTATCCCTCAAGTTCAACCTGAATTCTCAATGTTAAACATCATTTCCCATCTCCCTTTTAGGACTTATGGATGGCCAAAGTGGTCCTTGCAACTCTCCCACAGAAAGGACCAGTCCATTTGTTCCTGCCGCCTGTCTGGAGGTAGGTGAGACTTCCAGCCCCAGCGCTGGCTACTGGGTATTACTTTGTACCATCCCTCTACTCATGTCCTAGGCAGAGATACCTAAGGCAGTTCCTGTGGGTCCCTTATTTTCTTTCCCAATGCCTACAAAATGACCATGGGTTAGTTTGAAAAGCTGTTAGCTGAAAGGTGTACTGGTTCAGTGTCTGCTCACTCTTAGTGAGCTCGGTAATCATGACTGACTTCAGGGTGGAAAATGCCAAGACTGAACTGCTGTTAGTTTAACACAGAGTCCACTTACCAGCTGCAGATAAAGCAGTGCTAAAGCACCAAAGGAGAATTAAGGAGGCAAATTACACAATCTGGAAAAAATATTCAGGCCCAAGGCTTTTTGCAAATAGGGTGTAGTTTTATCTCCATACATCACTCACTCTGCAAGTGGTATTAAAGGTAAATTAAAAGTGGAACAAACCTTAAATCCATGCAGAATCCCACTAGTCATACAGATTTTAAAAAGGCATAACTGCAGAACCAAATGTACAAAATAAAGTCTCCTTTTGTGGCCCACCAGCCCTACGTCAATTTAAAACAGCACACAACATAAGTGACTGTACCCAACCTAGTTGTTACAGACAGACAAGGAGTTTCCAACTGCTTACTGTCTAGCTTGGTCCTTACTGGAGTAGGTTACATTTACAACTGCAGTTTCCGAGTCCGTGTTCACTAGGAGAAGAGAGAAAGAGAATCGGTTAGTTTTCCTTCTGCTTCGTTCCTTTTATAAATTTGAAAGCAATTCAGAAGACAGGTACCTTGCTCACAGCTCTCCACCACTCCATACTGGACTAGTAAACTATCCAGCACCTAGCAGGAGGGGAAGAGAAAATCATTAAGTTTTGAGTTTCCCAAGTTATTAACCAGGGCAGGAATATATGTTCTCAAATCACAAGTAATCATGAGAGATAAGAGTCAAAGAACTTCCCGGGACTTTGCACCACAGAACCACAAGGATCACTCCACTGCTGCTCTCTGTTGCCTATGCCTGTTCCTGGATTTCAGCTCTTTGCTGGTGGGTTCCTGCTGCCCTCAGCATATCCACTCTCCAGGCGGAAGGCAAGTTGCTCATTAATTCTCATACACAAATGCATCCTATATCTCACTTGCTCCACGTATTCAAAGTGATAAGACAAGCCTACATTAAAGAGTTTTATCTGCAAGATGATCCTTTTCAAAAACAAAAACTTCCCTTTTTTTTAGCACTACTGGTTCTAGCAAGACAAGATCAGCATGAGGCACACACAGCAACTGAAAAGCAGCACACGTGAAGTAGCTGTCAGCGTGCAGGCTCTTAGGAAAGGTGTGAGCATTTCTAGATCGAAACAAGAGTGGAAAATGTAAACACAACGCTGTTTTCCTCTCTCTGAGCTGTAGCCTATCCTGACGGAGAAGTTATTGAAACGTTAACTATAGGTTCATTGTAACAAGAACCGCCATGGCTGCATCTCGTCATACAAGACAACTTCAGCTTGCCCTCTGCTTCCAAGGTTTCCCCCCTTGAAATGTTAAGTCAGTTCCAGTGTATTTACAGCAAATGGCTTATTAATTTAATTTTCAACATATGAAAGGCAGTAAGTAGTTCCTGAAGATGCTCTTGGACTCTGGACACAGTAAACTGTTAAGAAGCAGGCTACATTTAAAGGCAATTCCCTGCTTCATCGTGAGTCTTAAGCTCCTCCTTCAAAGGATACCACACCTCGGTGCATCTTTTAAGCTTCTGCCGACTAGTTGACTGGGAACATGCTGTCTTCCAGGAAGGTTGACTCCTAACTTGTTAACAGACTGTTTTCCTTTCTTGTGAGACAGACGCTCACATAATGTGGGCTGGCCTCCAACTCACTGTGAAGCTGTAACTTGGACATGCTGTAAGCTGAGGTACAGGCGTGGTTGGAGAGGAGGGGAGCGGGCAGTAAGGGATAATTACCCATTTAATATGTTTACTTAATTATTCTTCGTTCTTCCTAAAAGCAATTTGCTCAGTAATTAAATATATTAGCTTTCAGCTTCGCTTTTGCCACCTCAACTTTATTACTCCAGAGACAGATCTAAGCCCTGCAGCCTGCAGACTGCAGATAGTGAGGGTGAAACCTAACGATAAATAAGCCAGTGGAGCCAATGCTCTCCCAGGGCTCTGCTGGCAGGAGAGTCAAGACTTCCAACTGAACTCGGTATGATGTTCATATACGCATGCATGCATACAGAATGCACACACACAAATGCGTGTGTATGCACAAGTAAAATTTGAAGTTTAGGAAATGTATAGCAAAAGTTTACTGCATATTATTTACAACAGGGTTAACATTCAAAACAGAACTTCTGAACACTTAAACTGTTGGGGGGTTTTGTCCTTTTTTGTAATTTTTTATATTTTATTTATGTCTTCTGCCTGCATGCAAGCAAGGGCACCAGATCTCATTCAAGGTGGCTGTGAGCCACCATGTGGTTGCTGGGAATTGAACTCAGGACCTCTGGAAGAACAGTCAGTGCTCTTAAACGCTGAGCCATCCATCTCTCCAGCCCTTTTTTTTTGTCCTTAAAGACAGGGTTTCTTTGTCTATGTGGCTGTCCTAGAACTAGCTTTGTGGACCAGGCTGGTCTCAAACTCACAGAGATCCACCTGCCTCTGCCTCCTGAGCACTGGGATTAAAGGTGTGCGCCACCACCACCTGATTTACTTAAACATATATTAGGCTCAAGAATAAGCAAATGCTGGGCAGTGGTGGTGCACGCCTTTAACCCTAGCACTCGGGAGGCAGAGGCAGGCAGATCTCTGTGAGTTTGAGACCAGCCTGGTCTACAAAGCAAGTTCTAGGACAGCCAGGGCTACAGAGAAACCCTATCTCAACAAACAAGTAAATATTTCTAAAAAATTAAATAAAATCCTCACAAATGAAATGGGGTGGTATCTGATTATGGTTTTTCAGGTCAACAATCACTCTCCCAGAGCACAAGGATCCCCTACTAAGTCTGACATTTTGGCTCATCCTACATTAAGCAGAAGATGTGTGTGCTCCTATCACCAGCCACATGTACCCCCAAGCCCTGGTTCTTACTTCTTAGCTCATTCAATCTTGTTGAATGTCCCTTCCCCGTCCCCTCAAATCCCTTACATATTTCTAGCATTTCCATAACCCTCTCACAAACCAGAATCCATACTTAAATGAATTTATATCACTCAAGCTGGATTAGAAACATTTCTCCAAGCTTAGTGAAGTTTAAACCCAACTGAAGCAGAAAGAGTATCAAAGCATATCTTGGTGGAGATTCTTCCTCTTAGGACTGAAGACCACCCCAATGCGAAGGACCTCTGATTCACGTTGTTCACCCGAAAGCACAAACAGCAAAGGAAGAGTTAGATGGCAATGCAAAGGTTACTGCTTTCCTGAGCACGGTGGTAAAGAGTCAGGGCATTCACAACAGCTAGAGCAGAGACTACCTCAACATCTATCAACAGTGAGGGAAGAAAATACAGCATTCTCCTACAAAGAACTGCCTTGAAAATACTCTGCCAAACAACTGAAGCCAGGCACTGTCTGATTCCACGGCATGAATGTCTAGAATAGCAAATTCCATACAGGAGGAAGGCAGACAACTGGTTTCTTGAAGATGGGGAGGAGGGGAATGGCAGTGACAGCTGGAGGCTCTTTCTGGGGTTATGAAATCCACTGTGACACACTAAAAACCACTGCACTGTGCACAGACGATGGACTGCAGAGGACATGAACTCCAAACTCAAAGCTGTTGAGTATTACTCAAGTTCAGCAAATAACACAAAATGTGATATATTTTGATAGTCTTCATTGTTGTGTAACAGTTTCCTCTGAGACGAAAACATTCCATCAGGGAGGGAGCTCCTTAAGCACAGGAGGATAAACAACTCAAAATAGTCTAAGGAAGTCCCTGAAACTGGCCAGATTCTCTAGGCCCCTCTCTGCCACGGTAAACAAGAAAAATCTCAGAGGCAGGAGAGCTGAGCGGCAAACATGGCTCTGAGACCAGACCAGCTACCTGAAGAAGCAGAAACCAGCCAAGCGGTCTCAAAGGCGTTTAGACCAACTGAGACACCTAGACAGGACACTCTCCAACCTGCTGAGCTGCCTGCAGGTTGTGCAATGAGCTACAGGTCCACAACTTGGTGAGCTGTCACCCATTCTAGGGTGGGCTTTGGTGATACGGCTGTCTTTGAGTCATTTCTGCTCCTGTGACTGACTGACCCATATTCCTGTAAGCAGCCTGAATAAAGCTCACTGGTTCACTAAGCTGGTCTCTGGTGGTATCTATTCTTTGCTTTGTCATGGATTCCCTCTGAGGTAAGTAGATGTGTACTTGTGTCTCCCCAGGAAAGTTTTCACACAACATGCCAACACTCATAAAACCATCACAATCATCAAGAGAGCAGTTTCCTCGTGTGTCTCTTCAGCTTAGTAGTGGCATTTGTTCTTATCCACCCACTACTATTTCAATAGACAGCTGAAAATACCCATGTAGCTCTAGCTTGCTCTGCTGCCCCAGCCTCAGCAATACCAAAACCTTCTCCTGTGTCCCTGCTGCTTTCACACCAGCTCCCGAACCATGAGCCCACTATGCTTGCCTCCACTCCAACTCTGCCTGCCTGCCAGAAGCTACATAACCCTGAAGGGTTTTCAAATAACGGATGTGTGCTGTCCATACTCATACTCCAACATGGCTACACACACACACACACACACACACACACACACACACAATCCTAACATATATGCTCCTGTCATATTTTCAAGACTGAGTGGTAAAGTCTCTCTCTCTCTCTCTCTCTCTCTCTCTCTCTCTCTCTCTCTCTCTGTGTGTGTGTGTGTGTTTGTCTGTCCCTCATTCACAACAACTGATCCTTGAAATGAAAGCAGTATCATTTTATCATCTCTTTCCTTTATCTTTACTCACGAACTATACAAGCAATTACTTTTTAAAGATTTATTTATTATGTATACAGTGTTCTGCTTGCCATGTATATCGTATGCCAGAAGAGGGCACAAGATCTCATTACGGATGGTTGTGAGCCACCATGTGGTTGCTGGGAATTGAACTCAGGACCTCTGGAACGGAGCCAGTGCTCCTAATCCCCGAGCCATCTCTCCAGCTCTGATATACAAGCAATTATTACCCTTGATGATGTTGATATCAGGCGTGTGACAAAATCTACTCGTCACATCACACCAGATGCTAAAGCTGGAAGGTAATTCCTGATGCATACATTTGGCCTCTTTGCGTTCCATGCTAACCCTGTCTTTAGCTTTTCACTTGGTGAAGGGACAATGCTGGGCATGACTGTCTCCATGCCAATCCGTATCTGGGCGTTCTCCTTCATCTCTTCCACAAAGATGTGCTGACCTCTAGGGCTGTGAGACGAGCTCATGGCTTACAGTTTTGCTTAGTCCATGCCTAGCTAAGTGAGAAAGCCTGAAATAGATTAAAAGGAAGACACAAAATAGTGTTTGTGTCAACTGTGGTGGCACACCGCTATAGCCCAAGGGCTCAGGAGGCTGAGGCAAGAGAACTGCCAAGAGCTTAAGGCCAAACTACACTATGTAAAAAGCCTGTCTTTAAAAAATAGGTTTTTGGAGGCAAGTGGATCACTGTAGTTTGAGGCTAGCCTGGTCTACAGAGCAAATTCTAGGACAGCCATGGCTGTTACATAGAAAAACCCTGTCTCAAAAGAACCAAAAAAAAAAAAAAAAAAAAAAAGCTCGGCATTGGTGGCACACACCTTTAATCCCAGCACTCAGAGGCAGAGGCAGGCAGATCTCAATGAGTTTGAGGCCAGCCTTGTC